AGAGAGAGAGAGAGAGAGAGAGAGAGAGAGAGAGAGAGAGAGAGAGAGAGAGAGAGAGAGAGAGAGCGGCGCACATGGCGCCTGCGGCAACGTCCCAAACGTAACCCCCCCCGCCTTCTCTCTCTCTTTCTGTGTGTGGGTGTGTGGGTGTGTGGGTGTGTGGGTGTGTGTGTGTGTCTGTTGCATGGCACGTAGGCGCGGAGGCAGTAATCCAGTGGGGGGTCGTTCAAGCCGGTAGGCATGATGGAATGATGGGAACACGAAGGGGTGTGGCAGACGAGGTCGGTAAGCAACTTTCACCCTGACCCCACTGCCGGCCTGAGTTACAACCGCCTTTTTGAACTTAGGCCATGACGAAGTTGCTGAGGCATGTTTCTTTTGCCAATTGCAAACTCTGATGTGACATGAATGTACTTACCTATAAATAAAAAAAAAAATCTATATTTTGCCTCCCAGTTGAAACGTCGTTTTTTGCCTTTTCTTAAAGGATAGAATTCCAATTGGAAAATTCTTCAAAGTGCCACACTGGTGGCAGGGGGCTGTGGTGGTAGCGAGGGTGGGAGATAATGCGCTCTGCGGCGAAGGGGCTAGCTTGTAGGGTGGCAATAGGGTTTAGCAGCGGTGAAGATGATAGCTTCATTGAGGTAAGACTTGCCGGAGTAGGGTTGAAAGGGATTTTGTGGGGGATAGCTGCAACCGGTGCCTGAACTAGGTGGAGATCAAGGGGGGGAGCTAGAACTGGAGGATGGGAGGTAGTAAGGGGGCTCTCAACAGGGGAGGGGTTGTTTGTTAACGTAAGTAGGTTTGAAGGACGATGCTGGGACAACAGAGGCCGGTGCTGGAGTTTTTGCTCTGTGACCTAGGGGGAGCTTGAGGTCTGTGGAGTTATGCCGAGGGTGGAAGGCATACCCAGACCGTCCGACGTAGCCGGCGCCGGGGTATTAACCCTGTAACCTGGTGTCAGGGGTTTGCGGCTAAGGGAGATGTCGAGGGAGGAAGGCACTTGCTGTCCGTCAGAACTAGGTTGGTCAGTACTTGGGAATGTTGTGGTGCCCTGTTACCCTAGCAGAAGGGGGTATGAGATCAAATAAGTTCTGGTACGAGGACTGAATGCCTGGACCGACGTTTCGTCTGTTGAGTGGGGGAGGTTTGGATAGCAGGTGGGTTTGGTTTTGACCCTTTGGTCTCATAGTTTTTCAAGCTTCTTCAGACTTTTTCTGAATTTTAGCCTATCTCATGAGGTCCTTGTCTAATAGGCTAGTAATTGCTCATGATCCTTTTTTTTTTTTTTTTTTTTTTTTGTAATAAATGAAAAAAGTTCAGGAAGATTTAGGGAAAACGTGGACAACTGTTGACCTATTGCTCGGCCACTCAAGCAACAATTACCACAAAAGTCCTTCGAATGCTCAGAACCCCTGGACTCCCCGACAAAACACTCTAAAATTCTCTAACACTGTCTAATTCCCTGCCGAGCTCTCCCAGGCCTAATGCCCCCACCCTGCTAGGTTACAGGGCAACATGACTCACCACAGCTCCGGCCAGCGTCATCCCGACAGCAACCCTTTGTTTTCCCTTGAAACGCCCGGCCCAAGGCATCCCCGGATCTCTCTGCCAGGCCTCACGCTCCTGCTATCAACAGGTCACAGGGCAACCCCCCAGCACTGGCCAGCGTCGTTCTGGCATAAAAAAACTGCAGGTCTATGAACATAATAGCATCAGAGATGCCTAAAATGAGTTGCAAGGAGTGAAAAAAAAAGGAAAAAAATAAATAAAAAAATAAATAAAAAAGAGTTGCAAGGAGTACCCAGAATCCTAAGGCATTCTCAAGGGTCTCTTTTTGAGAAAAATTGAGAAAATTTTTAAAGAAGACCTCCCCCTGCCAGCATTGATTGCCTCGAAACCAGGGGGTTAACTGAGCAAGGATGCACTTTGATGATAATTTATTTATTTTTTGAGAAAAATCTGAGAACATCTTGCACCAAGTACTAATGAAAACAGCCTCAAAGGGGCTAATAGAAGAAAACAAACATCTATATAGTACTAAATGCAAAAGGTCCTTTTGTTTTTTGGAAGAACATTCAGATCGAGAAATACCTGCCTTCGAGAAATACAATTATAAGAATGCATCCGCTGGAAATCGGGTCCAGCATCCCTGTACCGTGATGTGAATGTATTTGCTGGAAATCGGGCCCAGCACCTCTATGCAGATCCACGAAACCCTAACAACGATGTGATACATGTGGTGTATGTAATGTATGTGCCATGCATATGTGATGTATGTGTTCTGTATCTATCAAAATTTAAACACAAAACCCTAACAATGATATGATGAGATATGTATGATCTTTATCTAAGTACAAATCTCTACCAGTGATGAAATATGTGTGATATGATGCGTGTGAACTTTATCAATGATATAATATGTCCGAATGTTTGCCAGATGAGCAGAGGCATTGATTACTTCCCTGCGACAGGGAAGGATTGACCTCGTGCCCATGAAGTATTATCCAATCCATAAAACCATCAGCATCGTTCACCCCAGGAAGGGAAGCAAAGCAAAACTCGAGACCCTAAACATCCTACATCCCCTTGGGGGCGATCGGCACCCCTTCATGATTAGAGTTTGAGTGTCGGTCAGCTCTAATCAAAAAAAGGGGGAGGTGGGCATCCATCCTACTCCCACCCGATGGCCGACAGAGAAGAACAAGTCACCGTGCAGAAACAGCAGATAGAAGGGGGGGGGAAACGGCAGAATGATCCTTCAACCCCAAGCTCCATCTCGCCAGGCATATCACTCCGCATATAACCCTCTTATCCGTGTCTACTCCACTCCCCACTACGTCAGCATGGGGCTTCTTTCACGTCGTGTTGATGCTCTCTGCCCTGATGCTCCCGAGGTCGTTGTTGTCGTCGTCGTCGCCGCTTCCACCGCCGTCGTCGTTGCCGCCATCCTCGTAGCTGTGAGGGGATGGTCCCTGTTACCACGCAGTAGACCTCGATCATGTTGTGGCCTCACCACGCGGCACTAAGGAGTAGGACATGGAGGCAGAAGGCTGGGACTGCGCATCGAATGGAGGGGTGGGGGTGCACCACTATAGCGAGGCGAGCAGCGTAGAAGTGGCGGAAGGTGGAGCGGGGAAACGGATTGGAGGGGAACGTAATGGAGGTGGTGAGCTGGCGGAGGGTGAGGTAGTCAAGGGGACGGCGAGAGAGTGATCGGGGACGAAGACCGATCGCCCGTATCGGTACGTCGGCGAACTGGGGGACGGGTTGAGGAGAAGGGGGATCGGATCCGTCGCCGCGCTGATGGGGTCGGAGTTGTGGCCGCGAGGTCGCCATCTTCAGGCCGGGGCGGCTCCGGATCTCGGTTCGGATCGTCGTGAATCTGCAGACTCGCCGCGTTTGCGAGCTCTAACTCCTTCTTCCCGGCCGTGATCTCTTCTCTTTTGCTGGCCGCCTCAAGATCCTCAGCTTCCGTACCCGTACACAACGCTTCTTCTGGCACGACTTCCCACTCCGATCCAGCAGGCTCTTCGTCGTGCTCCTCTTCTCCTTCCTCGCTTTCTTCTTCTTCTTCGCTCTGTTCCCCCTCGCTATGCTCGCTATAGCTTCCTTCTTCGGGGGTTCGTCTTCTTCCTCGAGCTCTTCGTCTTCGTCACTCCCAGTACTCTCCTCCTCCTCCTCCTCTCGAATGACCGCAAGCTGCTCAGTCGTAGGATGCCTGAAGAAGGCAGAATCGCGAGCCGTCCGGGGATCCAGGTATTGTTGCTGCGACGGCGGGATGCGCTCTACGGCTCCTTCTACGCAAGCCGACCACTGAAGATAAGGTGTCAACGTGCGAGAAAGTACGTGGGGAACTGGATGCTCGTCGTCTTGCGAGATGATGTCGAGAGGAAGATCGTTCGCCGGCTGTGCTACCGGGATCGTAAGCCCTTTCGTGATGAGATCCTGATGGTCGGGCCGCACCGTACCGAATAGAAAAGCGAGAAGCTCTCCCTCCACGTTGGTTCGCCAGGCCTGGATGAACAGCAACTCCAGGCGCTCTATGCAAGGCGGGTGCGCTTCGTCCTCGATCCACGTCAGCCGTACTTCCACCAGACACAGTGAAAGCTCGATGAAGTCGTCGCGCCACAGGACCCAATGGGGAGGATGCATATCGGGGACAGCGAAGGGCTTTAGACGGTAGGAAAGGCAAGGATGGATATCAGAGTGCCAGAAGGTGGGGAAGGTGGAGGGGAGATAAAAAACGGAGATCGGAGAGAGACTCATTGGGGACGTGGGAAGGGAACGAGGATAGGGATATCTGCTGGCGGCTCGCGCTGATACATCCGAAGACCATCGTACTCGATTGCTCGTGTCGTTGCGACTGTATCTCCGGGACGAGCCAGGAGCTGGGTCCACTCGGCGACCAGGTCGTTCGCCCACGCGCGCAGCGAGGCCTTCACCGCCGAATGTCGCAAAGGAAGAAGTGTGGAGAGATCGCCACTGAAGTTGACAACGACTGATATGCGACTGACACCTGGCACCGCCCGCTGATGAACTGCTACCGCCTCGACCAGTACCAACGCGTCAGGACGGCCTTCAATCCTGAACACCGCCGCTGCATACACACCTTTCGTGCAGAAGAAGTGCGCAAGCCTCCGAAGGTTTGGGCTGAGGCCGGGATGATGGACTTGCCGGATCGTCAATCGATCGAGAGGAGCAAGCGATGCTGCGCTGAGGGCTCTTTCCTCCAGAAAACTCATGGCGATGGTGAAGGTGATGGGGAGGCAGATGGGGCGCAAGAGGAAGAGGGAGATGGCGAAGAGCTAGAGTCGTCGTTTTCGGCTTCCTCGGAGAGAGAGGTCGAGGGAGAAGGAGATGGAGCAGAGGGGACGAGGCGAAGATAGGACATGTGGTGTGTGATCGGACGAGCCGATCAATTGCCGGAGACTTCAGGTGTGAGACGCACGGTGTCCACACCGTTGGGGCCGAGCTCGATCACGCGATATTGCCCGAAGAATCGTGGCGCTAGCTTACCCTGGCGAGCACATTTCCTCACCTGCACCACGTCCCCCAATTTGTACTGGGGCCGAGGACCCGCATTCCCATTTCGGGCCTCGTAGCTTCGGACCTGTCAACCCTGGGCTAGTTCGGTCATTTTCTGTCGCTTTCGGGGTAGCCTGGGCAGCGACCGTTCCATTAACTCTAGGTGCCATTTGGCCTTGTCCCGAGCCATGGCCCTGGTGGGCCGTCGGTTCAATGTAGACTCATCCGGGAGGCTTGGTATCGAAACGCAAGCGACACTATTGGTCTTTAATTGGAAGGGGCTCAGCCCCGTCGATTCATGGGGCGTTCCGCGATGGACCGCCAGGATGTGATCGACGATATCGGGTCAGGGTCTCGGATCCCGTGCCGCGATGTTTCGCCGCAACGCTGTCTTTATCACTCGGTTAGCGTTTTCGACCAGCCCATTAGATTGCGACATGTGGGGTGCAGTGTTTCGTATGGCGACGCCATGTAGGACCAGATTCCTTAACACTTCTCCCCTGAATTCAGCCCCGTTGTCGGTCAGGATCTCTTCGGTGTCCTGATGCATCCCGAGGAAACGGTTGACATATCGCGCGATTTTCGTGGCTTGTCGTGTGCGATAAGGATACGCTTCGATCCATTTCGAGAAATGGTTGACAAATACCAGTAGGACTGAATACTCGCAACTATTAGGGCCAGGGGGCACCACTATGTTGGTAGTGTCCATGCTTACTCTCTGAAATGGCMGTTCAACAACCGTGGGCACTATCGACCTTGGTGGCTGAATCGGTGCTTTATCAGCAGCGCAGACTTGACAAGTGGCGACGATGTACTTCACATCGTCGCGGATATTGGACCAGTACCACTCATTTTTGTCGATAGCGGACTCCGTGATTCGTACAGCAAAATGAGCCGCAGTTTTTTCGTGGGCTATCTTAACCCAGTCATACCGCATTAACGGATGCGGCACTACCATCAAAATCCCACTGCCGTCCGTTTTCCATTTTTCTAATCTACCTTCTACCCATCGATAGTCCCGAGCCCTTTCGTTGGCCCTCCTCTGATCTTCCTTGGTGAAATCCTGAAGGGGGTTACCTACTAGGGTGGCAATTAAGACAATATTCGTCCATACTTCGGCCCTTCTAAACTTTCGGGTCTTTTCCAATCCTTCTGACGTGGCATCCAAAAAGCGAGCCTCGGTCGGAATTTTGTCGGTCCGGCACAAGAGGCACAACCATGGCTTACTATCGTTCCTGTATTGGATGCACGAGCCGTGGGCCCGTGCAACGCACTATCGGCAGTCTATCCAATCCGCATACCCCTCCCTGTTAGGACGCATGGAGACCGAATAGACGCGGGAGATGGCTTCGCAAAAATAACAAAATTTGTCAGGCAGGGAGAGGAGAGACGAAGAGGAAGGGGGAGAGAGAGGGGTAGTGGGGTTACCTCCATCACCCATCGCCACCGTTTTGCTTCTTGCCACGTGGGAGAACTGCCACTTATCCGTACTTCGGTTCGTTAGTCAGGTCCGGCTCCTTCCACGGTGTAATTTCCTCACCCTTTGGTACCTTGGCAGGTTGATGCAGACGTGTCAGCCCGTCCGCGTTGTCGTGTCGCTCTGTCTTCCGATGGACGATATCGAAGTCGTATTCTTGTAGTCGCACTGCCCAGCGACCAATCATGCCCGTGTAGTTGGTGAGTTTCTTCAGAGCTAGCAGAGGCTCATTATCCGTCACAAGGCGAAACTTCTGTCCGTAGAGATACGGATGGAAGTGCTGGATTCCCCAGACCACTGCATAGCATTCGCCTTGAGGTGCTGAGTCATTCCTTCGTTCGTCTGGTACCATGCGTGACGCATACTCGATGACGTGTTCACGACCATTGTTCCCCTTCTGCGCTAAAATAGCGGAGATAGCTTCTGGTTGCCAGTCCGTGATGAGAATGAACTGTTTCGAGGGGTCCGGCCAAATCAAAATAGGGGCCGTCGCCAGAGCGTCCTTGAGGGTTGCAAAAGCCTGTTGACACTCCGCGTCCCAACTGAGAGGTTGGTCCTTCCTTAACAGATTCGTTAGTGGCCGCGCAATCGCAGCAAAACCCTTGATGAAGCGCCGATAGTACGACGCCAACCCCAAGAAGGCTCGAACCTGCGTCAGTGACGTGGGAACCGGGGATTCTTTCACCGCCGCAACTTTTCTCGAATCCGGCCGCAATCCTCCACGTGTCACGACGTAGCCCAAGAACGAAATTTCCGAAAGGAAAAATTCGTTCTTTTCGAGCGCAATCTTGAATCCAGCGTCTCTCAACGCACCCAATGTCCATTCGATATGTTGCGGGTGCCCGTGGTAGGTTTCCGAATAGACCAGGATGTCGTCCATGTACACGATCACGCAGAAGTTAATCATCCCCTGCGCCAGCCGTGTCTTGTTGACGAAGTTCTGGAATGTCATGTTCATCGCTCGCTGAAACGTGGCAGGCGCATTGCAAATTCCCATCAGACACCGAACCCACTGCCACGTGCCCTCAAACAACACAAAGGCCGTTTTTGGCCGATCTTCCTCCTTAACCAGAATATGATGGAAACCATGTCGAATATCAAACTTGCTAAAATAATTAGCACATCCAATCGCATCCAGCAAATCATCAATCCGGGGGAGGGGATACACATCTTTGATCGTGATCTCATTCAGCTTGTGATAATCAATGCAAATGCGAATCACTCTGTTTTTCCTCAGTACTAATACTACGGGAAATGACCAAGGTCCGGTAGTGGGCTCAATCCAGCCGCTGGCTTCAAACTCCCGAATTCGTTCGAGAGCCTTTTTGCGTTCAATCAAGGAATACCGGTAAGGTTTGCAATGAATCGGGGAGTGATTTCCTGTCTGAATTTCATGTTGGATTACTAACGACAAACCAATGTCAGTATCTGTCACGCTAATCGCTCCTTGATATTCCGTTAGAATGTCCGCAATCATCCGGTGGATTTCATCCGGTACGTACTGTGGAACGTGTAGTTCGAAAAATTCGTCTCCGATCCGAACATCAATCTGTTTCGTGCGCGTCTGTTTTGCCACATCAGGCGGAGGCGCTGAGATGAAAGAATGGTCCGATCGCCAGGAGAAAACCGTGGCCATCATCTGGGCATCTTCTTCCCGGATTACCACATGTCCTTCCGGGGTAATCCCATCACAAACATGCTACCATGGCACGTTCTTAGTTGCGATCTTTATCCCCAGTCCGCCTGTTTCTGCCTCGAAACGCCCAGGGGGTTCCAGAGAACTTGCTTCCGCCCCCAAGCGTAACAATCTCACTTCTTTAGCAGATGTCAATAAGGACTTAGGTAATTCCGAAATGTCGCAATAGTGCTTTTTGTCGCTATACCTGGCGAGGAGAGGGGTGATTCCTTCGTACAGAGTTTGAGGGGGTTCCAAAGAATCGACCATCCTCGAAATTTGTACGAGGGGCTCACCCAGGATCATTGCCTTGGTTCTTTGAATTTTTCTGCTGGTTAATTGCATCGTTCTTGCTATCGTTTTGGGTGGTGGGTAGTAAACGCGTTGTCGTACCAATTTCAAGATCTCCGGATCATTCTCGTCACTGCTTTCCGCATCATCTGTTGATGACTCTCCTTCTGCAGATTCACCCCAGGAGATCATGCGGAGAGTCCTTGCCATCATCGGTGAAGCCCGCGGAACCGCGTTGATCGTAATGCGAAAGGTCAATCGCATGGGCACGGCGTAGGGTTTTCCTCCTGTATGTCGGAGGACGATCAATCGTCGCTCGAAATCCAGGTTCGCTCGTAATGCCACAAGAGCGGGAAGTCCGAAAAGAACGTTGTACGTATTAACATCTAGTACTACGACATCCCCAAGCACGTGTACTTTTCCTAATCGGAAGGCGACATTGGTCATTCTTCCCACAGTTCTAATTCTTTCTTCGTCAGCCGAAACGAGCTGATCTTTCTCTGAAAGCGTGATCAAGTTGTTTTTCCTGCCTGCCCTTTCGACCACTCTCAGTGAGACAGCCAACACAGCCGCTCCCGAATCTATAATAGCATTGTAAGGAATTCCCCAAATCTCTATATCACACTCGGATTTCCACGGAATTGGTTTAATCCGTAAGAAATGATCGTCTTTCTGAATCAAACCTACCCGTATCGGATCCGAAGTGCCGGCTGGGTTTTCTTCTGGCGCGGGGCCTTTTGCTTTTGCATTTGGTGTTCGGGCGAGGGCGAATCGCTTTCGGTTTGCTTTGCAATGCTGTAGCATTCGCTCGTTGGCTTGCTCGGAGATCGAGAGTAGGTGACCGATCGGAAGGGGAATCCGATGGTCCAAGGCTCGGATGATGTTTAATACATCGATCTCTCCTGTGACGAAGGTGGGTCCTCCCGACTCCATTTCTCATAGAGACGGTCGCCACTCCGCCACCTCTTTCGGTTCTGGCGCTGGTCTGATTGTTCCGATCATTCTAAGCCCAGGATACCCCAGTGATACGTATTGATCTTGCGGGATTAGCTCGGCGGCCTCTTCCATGGTGGCCAGGGCACTTCCCCCGCCCTCTACTTCTTCCATCAAGGCTCCGACTCGTCCAGGTCCGTTAGCGATGGGAGCTGCAGCCATAGGCGCAACCCCGATTCTCTGTTGTGGGGGTCGGTGGGGGCAATCACGGGCTAGATATCATGGCTGATGACAGGCATAACAGACATTCAGGTTGTTCACAGCTCCTCCGAGAGCAGGTGTCGGGGCTAATCCTTACTGCATCGGAGGGGCGCGTACCGCAATGGGCCGCATGTTCCTCATCATGGCTTCCAGCCGAGCATTGTGCTCCCGCTGCTCCTTTTTGCTTTCATGGATCGAACTAATCAAGGTTTTGGTTAGTTCAAAAATGGTTGCTGATTCATTCGATCGTGCGGGAGCCTCAATCGGTGGCGGGGGTAACGTCCTGACGGGTGGGGGCATCGCAGGAGCGGACGTGCTCGCAACCTCACTTAGGATCACTCGTTTGGGGCCTATCTGTTCCATATAGGTGACAGGTCCTGACACAAACCCCATGTTTTCAAAATTGTTTTGCAAGGCAGCCAGCTCAGCTCTCGCTCGTGCGAGCTCGGTCGAATCTCCTTCCCTAGGATAGTCTTCTCCTTCCAGGAAGTTCGCTGCGAACTTTCGTTCCATTTCTTCTGCCGCAGTCATGATTTGTTGCAGCGTGTGAGTGATGGGGGAAAATTGCTTCCGCAACTTAGCCCTTATCGTTCGGCTGCGAAGCCCGTCAATGAATAGATCTCTCCCTACTTGTTCACCTCGCTCAGTTTTTACGAACATTCTGTAGAACCGGTTTCGATATTCCGCAATGGATTCGAGAGGTTTTTGCACTCGGTCCTTGATCATGTACAGCGCTTGCTCGGGGTCACGGTAAACATAATCTAATCGGTTCATCAAATCCCGTTCAAAGGTCGGGAGGTCAACCCACACGTAAGTGTTAAACCAATGATGAGCGTCTCCCCCCAATCGGGCGGGAATGTTGATTTGCACTTCATTGTCAGTATACTGTTGGGCTCTAAGTGTGGCCAGCCATGCTCCTGCGAGATGGTGTGCTGGATCAAATAGATAGAGATCTGGTGGCGTCATGGGAGCTCGTGCACGTGGGGTGGGTTGATTTGGTGGATTAGCATTTTGTTGTGGAACCGGGTTTGGCACGTTGGCAGCCATGTTGGCTGCTCGTCGGTTAGTCGATCTGCTTCGGGTGACGATAGGGTCGCGTCTATGCACGTTCCGAGGGCAAGGTCGCCCGCCGTTAGCCAGGTCGCCTAATTATTGTGCTATCAATCGTAAGACCCTAGCCACGTGTCGGGCTCCGATACCAACCTCACGCCCAGCGCGACTTCCTGATCGGAGTGGAGTGTGGGCCTGGAAGTGCGAAAAGGGGTGTGCCAGGGATTTTTGGGGGAACTGGGGGAGTCTTAAGGGTATGAATGTAATTAGGCGAACGAGGGGTGCACGCGCAAGGGTCTCACAGTCCGAAGGGGCCGGGACACTGTGGGCGAGGGGTTACGAAAAAATTCCTCCATGGTGGAGATGGTCCTGAAAAGTTAGGCCGTCGGGGGCCGCCACGTGGCGCAGGCCGCCGTGTACCTGGGTTGGGCCTTCGAAATTCCAGAGTTCTCTGTGCGCCGCTGCGTCGGCAGTTCACGCAAAACGTATTGGGCCAATAGGGGGCTATGGCCGGCCACGGAACGACACTGAGTTGATGATACGGGAGAAGGAGACGGAAAGGAGGGAAACTGGTGGTGATCTCAACGAATCCCGGGTGAGTGAAGTAGTAGGTGTGGTCGGGAGAAGGGAAATCGGAGCACCGAGGGTCGCTAGAGGTGGCACAGTGGAATTCTCGCGGACATAGCCGATTTTCCGTGTGACAGGGGTATCGGGTCCTTATGAGCTCGTTTATTATAGGGGTGAAATAGTCCGGGTCATAGGACGAGTCTGAGCCCCAGGATCGCGTCATGGTATCATCGTCGGTGGGATAGCGCGGGGCGGGATATTGTCACCGCGCGCGAGCACGTGTAGGGCCGGCAAACTTAGTGGCGCCTCAACGTGCTCGTACGGGATGATGGTCCCGCCGCGAATCCTTTTTGGGTGATCGAATCGGCGCACGAGAATGCGTGTAAGGGCGCGACTCAGATCGTGTTTACACGTGTTCTCGCGCGGCGTTTGCGGAACCAGACTTCAGATCGTCGAGTACGCAAGATGCAATCATATCACAACCCCCATCGTGGGATAAGCAAAAGCGAGAACAAACCCACTATCAGGGCCAGATTCCTGTCCTATCTACAGCGGCATCAGGTGCAGGCAAGGATTCGACATAGATATAACGCAAGGACGGGGATTCTCAGCCAAAAGATAGACAAGCAGTCATAACATCCATACATACATCCATACATATGTTCATTCATACACATAATGCAAGCAGGACGGACATCGCAAGGACAAATGTAAGCAAGAACCCAAGCCCAGATTTCATAAGCCGAAACAAAAATGAGAATGGGCAAACCGCCCGGAGCCGCAATCAAAATGTATGTACACAGATGAAGAGGGGGAATAGACAAGAAAACAGCAAATCCGCGTCCATCGATCTCAACTCTCTTCATCTCTCTCTCTCTCTCTCTCCGATGCGGGCAGTCCGTCGTCACGCACCAACCCACAAAGTTGTCACCCCGCTTAGTCCTCCCGCACCCGTCGGATTCGCCCGTGCCCACAGTCCATCGTGGCCCACGTCAATCCCGCGCGTTCGGCACCAGCCCGTCGGGTCGCCCAACTCCTGCTCTACTCACCTCTTACTTCGCTCGTGTGCCGACCCTTCCTGATCGTGCAACCCCGAGCTTCCAACAACGGGTTAAGAAAGCTGACTAATCGCGCAGCCAAAATTTATAGCGCGCATGCATGCGCGAAGAACACGGAATTACCAGGACTTAGAGTGAGGATTAGAGAGGGAACGTCTGCGTTCTGTATGATCGGCCGCGGCGTGGGGGACATAACCCTTTTCCACGCATCGATCCGAGCATGCAAGCTGCGGCTTACAAAATTTCGGTGAAAGAAAGAGAGGGAGGGCGGGAGAGACGAAGTGCAAGAAGAGAGATACAGTTACAATGGCGCCCGCCCAAAATTACAGTTACACATACGATTAAGGGTGCCCACTAATCAGAGTACCGTTGCAGCCGCATGAAGAAGCGCGTAAACAAAAGGCGCCGCGCGGCAGGAAAAATCCTAATTACTAAATTCCTAAATTCCTATCTACTTGGGAAAAAGCAAAAAGGAGCACGAATTCCAGAAGGGAGGTCCGAAATTCCGAGAGCCATCAGGGGCTCGACAAAATTCGAAAAAGATTTAAAAGGAAATTAAAAAGAACGAAGCAATTTCCCGCGCGATGTCCGCGCCCAAAAGATCGAAACCGAACCGAAAGAAACGTCGTCAACATTTATTAATTGCGTGCGCGCGTGGCGTCGCGCCCAACAACCATCCGACCAATCACTAAACCGGCCGTCCCAAGACACACCTGACCCCGTGCCCGGTCATTCGAAAAAGAAACGACGAAGGAGGACGAAAAAGCGAGGACACTGATGCAATTTTCCACCGATCCCGATCTCCCGTAATCAGCTCAATCTTCCCAGCTTAGGACCCCTCATTGCAACCGCGCAGAAAATCGCGCGTTACAGAAAGTGGTTCGTCACAACGCTGGACCCGTTTTCCAGCAGGTTTTGCTCCCCACCAATAGATGGAGCATCCCCCACCCCCAAAAAAAAAGAAAAAAAAGAAAAAAAAAGAAAAAAAGACATCCAACAATTACAAACTACCATATGAGAAGCTCACCGCTCTACCGTTCTTCCATCTTCCATAACTGACTTCCACCCATCTCCATTACCCCTCCCCCCTCCCACGAAACTTACCCTCCACACCTTGATAAAAAAAAATAAAAATAAAAAGGGGAGCCTACCCCCTCCCGACGGAAGCAGAACGCCACCGGGCCAAGCGCAAGGCTCGTTGCAATGGACGTCGTTGAACCCGCCAACGATGCCTCGCAAGAGTTTCAATCCCATCACGACGTCTTGAGGACAGAGGCAATGAAAAAGGCGGTGCTACATCCTATGACAAACCACTTTATGTTGCAAATAATGGGATCATGGACCCGGTTTCCAGCAGGCATTCTCCCCACCAATATGTCGGAGTCATCCTTTTTGCAGGACCTCAATCCTGGTGGTACCCTCACCACCACCGGGATAGA